ATGGATGTTGGATATCATACACTTGTAGATTTAAACCATGAAAAACTCTCGTAACATTAACATTGAATACTCTTGCTTTTCTTTCTCATTAAATTTAACCTAACCTCAGAAGTATCCGTCAACACCTCTCTCCCAAACTTACTTAACACAAAGTGTCAAAGCAAGAAGGTTTTTTAAGGTTGATAAGTTAATGTCTTACTTTTCCTTCACAATACGATGGGTTTTATATACAAATTATATGAATATGAATGAATCAAACATAACTTTTTATGGCATATCTACATCAAATTCATGAAATTATATCTCACTTTAGGATTATCCCACAGTCACGACTAAGTACATAGAAAGGTGGGTATTCAAAACAACATATATAAATACATAAGTTACTTTGTTCTTTGGCTTCTTTTACTCATTTTTGCTTTACAAAAAAAAGACCATTATAAGCTTCTTCATGCCTGATGGCAAACGGCCAACAACTTGTTAAAAACGGAATCAATTTCTCTAACAGTATTAAGGATACAATTTTAAGTTTATGATGATGTTTCTCTTGAATGAAACACTAAAAGTACGTACGATGATACGCTTCTTTTCACGGTACACGATCATTTGAAGTTTGAAGTCGTCGACTTAGTTCGGGTCTTAGGGTGCTTGATGATATTCTCTGACATGAGCAGTTCTGATATATGGTTATATACCTTTCATGGGACTGAATCATTGGAATCTTTACGTTTTTCAGTCCTTTGGATATGTGTCTTTTGCCGGGAGAGCAGTGCCAGAAGAAGAAACCCAGGATTATTATTATTCAACTTTTCAAAACCGCGGGCAAATCTGGCATCTGTTCATGCGCTCTTGGGATGAAGGGTAGGCAGTATTAAAACCAAATGCATGATTGCCGTAAACTTATCACCCGCCTTTGTCTATAAGATTTACTTTCCATCGTGATTTGGCTAGGTGTTACAGTTACCCTAGATTTTACCAATCTCCGGTAGAATTCCCGGTTTTATCCAAATAAAAAAAAAAAGAAGGAAGATGTCCATTTTTTTCCCTGTCAAGGTAATTGAAATTTTTTTTGAAGGGGCGGCGGGGGGGACAATATTCATTCATCCCATAAAAATCATTTATTGATCTTATATTATATTTTAAAATAAGTAACTTAACAATTTAGCAATATGATTGAGGTAATGAGCAAATTAAATTTTCTGTGCTACATACTCACGGTGGAATCCAGAGAGAAACTAAATAATACTCCCTTTGTCCTAAAAAACAAGTACACATTGAGTTTTGAAATTTATAATAAAGACAACGAAAATCTCAAAATTCGATGTGAAGTATTTTTTTTTTTTGAGGACAGAAGAACGTAGTAAACTAGTAATAGATGGCAGACCCGTTGCTATTTTAAATACTCTCCCTCCTGAAAAAATATATTATTTTTGAATGAAAATTAAATATTAAAATTATTATACTTATAAATATTCAAATCATCCAAAAAACTATCACAAAGTTAATAATAAACGAACATGATTCGCTATTCAATTTTTCATATTACATTTTCAACTTCTAAGTTTAGTTTCTCAAATTGATATATTTTTCTGTGGATCTAAAGAATGTTATCTGTCTAGTTTTGTAATTACTATCGACAATGCATTTTTTTTGAATAAAAGAATTGGAAGTTAACTTACAAATGTGTTGGTGATGAAAATCGAGACAAATTAAATCGCTGGATTCATGAACATGCATGATAATTCTGAGAAATTGCCAAACTGGATTACTATTTTTTTCCTCTGTTGGTGGAAGCGTACGAAAGAGCTTAGAAGAAAAAAATGCAAACCACGGGATCTGTTGGTCTGCCCACAAACAAGATTCTTGGACCATTATTATTTTGTGTCCATTGTGTTTCTTACTGAATAATTTTATCCATTAGCATAAATTTGCATTTTCATACTACTTTCCAAGAAGGACGCATTAGGAAAAAATATATCCGAAAAAGGTTTCGCCGCAATGTCCACTTTTTGCTGTTTTCTTGTTTCCTGTGGGCATTCCTTTTGTAATTAATTTCCTTGTGGGTTTCTATTTGTATTTGTATTTTTTATTTTATCTGTCTCCAAAGCCATTTACGGCTGCTTTTCGGGTATGTTTATATTCTGAAGACACTTAAACTAGTCACATGATCATCTGTTATTGTAGGAAATTTTCTTCTCTCCCCCTTGTGTTAGTAGATTACGTATAACACTAAGTGAGATTTTCACAAATTTCTTCATCTTTGTTCCTAAACTTTAATCTATTGGTTGTTAGAGTGTTACTTATGTAAATTAAAAAGATACTTCCTCTATCCCAAAATTATTGTCCAGTTTAAGATCTCACTTTTAGTACAATTCGAACTAGAAATGAAAACTCAAAAATGACAATAATTATGGGACGGAGAGAGTACATGTCTTTTTTTTGAGTCACAAAGTATAATAGTATCTCGTAAAACTGCTAAGATTTTCACCATTAAAAACCAATTTGTCTTGTATTTTAGTCTCTTGTTACAAGAAGGAAAAAGAAGGAACAATCATTTTCAATTTCCAACTTCCATAATCGTAATAAACCCAAGAAAAGCCTACATAATGAGAGATAGTTGTTTTTCTTCTTCATTTTCTTTTACCCCACCAAATTGGTTACAATAATCATTAATCGATTTCTGGTGTTGTGATATGAGTTCTCTCAAATTGTTTTAATAACTACTTTTGTCTTGAAAGCAAGACCAAATTTGTCAACAAATTAATTCCCAAAACTTACTGACCATATAATTTTATGGAGCTCTGAAAATGACAAGCTATTCATCATCATACAGGTTACAGCCTTAACAACAGCTATGGCCTTATAGCTAAGCTACAGATAAATCATTATCGGGGATTAAGATTATACGGACTGATGAGTGACTGAGATATTATGTTCCCATTTTCCCAAACATATCATCAGTCCCTTTCCTGCACCCAGTCCCCACGCCAGCCACCATCATATTCTTGACTGTGTCCAACTTTTATGGGCCTTGTTATCAATTACATATTCGCACTTTAAGCCCAAATGAACAAGCCCGAAGAGAAATGATTTTAGGCTTGTTTAACCATCTTTCCAAGAAATGATTTTAGGCCTGTTTTAATTTCCAAAAAACACCATCTTTCATTTCGGGATTTATATAGTTGATCAACATGAAAGGAAATACGAGATAAACCAATTATGGGAAAAAATGTCGTTACTACTCAAAGTTTTGCCCTAATTGTCAATCATACTCAATAGATTTTTGTTAGCTAACTTTACCCTAATATTTGAAATTTTCGTTAATTTTGTCCAATCAACCCATTTTCCGTCCAAATTAACGGATCTCCTTTAATTTTTTAATAAAATAATAAATTTAAATACAAGAACACCCTAGTAGTTTTTAAAAATAACTCCTAAAATATATAAAAATAACAAAACAGTTCCTTTTTACTTTTTTTTATTTTATTTTTCTCTATTTTGTTCCATTTCTCTTAACTACTTTTAATGACCATAAAAGTATATTATATGAGTTTTAAAAAAAATTATTTATTTTCAAACTCTACCGTAAAAATTAATATTTGTATAGTTATAACACATGATTGTATTTATATAAGCATGTTAATCTTTTTAATAATATAGTTTAGTGACACAGACACTATTTTCTGACTTATTTTATTCTTCCTAACATAAAGATTAAAAACATTTAAATGAAACTAATATTCTACATAAAAATAAAATATTAGCTCAAATAAAAAAAATTAGCATAGTTTAGTATATTACAATTTAACTCAAGAGACTATAACTTGCATTAATATAATTCATAAAAAATAACTAAAATATAAAATAATTAAAACCTTAAAAAAATCCTCCAAACATAAGTTTTTCCTTCCTGAATCTAAAATCTATTTTCTATCACAACAACTTATTACCATATTGTTACCTCCATTCATTTATTTCAAACTAAAATCATATAGAATAAGCTAGTAAGACTTCCTCTATAGTTAGATATATTAATATCTCAAATAATTGTTACAAAATGTTAAATCCTCGCATTGATAAGTATACACATTTTTTTTATAAATTATATTATGTCATGTAGTCTCTCTAGTTAAATTATAATACACTAAACTATACTAATATATATATTTTTTATTTGAGCTAATATTTTATTGTTATGTGAAATTTTAGTTTCATTTAAATGTTTTTAATCTTTATGTTAGGAAGAATAAAATAAATCAAAAAAATAGTGTCTTTATTGCTAAACTATATTATTAAAAATATTAACATACTTATATAAATACAATCATGTCTTACAACTCTACAAACATTAATTTTTACGGTAGAGTTACAAAATAAATAAATATTTTTTAAAAAAACTCATATAATATACTTTTTATGGTCATTAAAAGTAGCTAAGAGAAATGAAACAAAATAGAAAAAAATAAAATAAAAAAGTGAAAAGGGATTATTTTGTTATTTTTATATATTTTAAGGGTTATTTTTAAAATTTTAAAAACTACTGGGATATTTTTGTATTTAAATTTATTATTTTATTAAAAAATAAATGGAGATCCGTTAATTTAGATGGAAAATGGACCGATTAGATGAAAATTTCAAATATTAGGGTAAAGTTGGCTAACCAAAAATCTATTGAGTATGATTAACGACGAGGGCAAATCTTTGGATAGAAACGAACATTTTTCCCCAATTATGGGAAAGATACGCATGAAAGAGTACAAGAAGGCAGATAGCTCAAGGCAGCCATTGCCAGGAATAAGTTGAACAAACTACTACATCCAAAAGATAAACATCACAAGATAGTATATACAGAATTTTGAGTACCATAAACATCATCTATAACATGAAGTTGCAGTCGTAGTAATTAGTACCGATGACTACTCAAAATTGCACACACTTAGAGCAGCTCAGATACAAAACAGAGTTCAAGGATGAGCCAATTATTTCCCTTCAGTCTGAAATCAACCCACTTTTGTGCCTGATGTTCCTGTAAAAATTGTAAATATCATGCACAAACTATTGAAGAATCGCGGTCTATTCGAAAAAGATCCTTCAAAAGTCCGGATCTTTTCACTTTTCCAGTACTCTTTAATCATATATACATTGGACTAACAAAGCATACAATATTTAGAAAAATTTAATTCTCAATCGGTATCAAAACTCAAAACCCTCGTACCATTTCGGATTCACAGCCACAAATCCAAATGTATCAATAATTTTGCAATTGAAAAGTAAAGGAGGTTTGAGCAAAGTAGTCTCACCGGCAATGACCTAAGAGAAAGGTCTAGACTGAGGCGGCGATCTTCTAGTATGTCGGAAATCGGGAGTCCATTTGAAGACAGGCACCTTGAATTTGCCGATGGTCAGAGTATCTCTGGAAGAACAATCGACGGAATCTTCTTCCAAATCGAAGGTAATCAGAATGTGATTCTCGTCCAGCGGTTCCAACTTAGCATTCCCTTTGAACCCACAGTTACGAAACCCGACTCGTACCTTCTTCATCGGTGGCCGGCCTTTCGAGAATTTCCCGATGTGAGAGAATCGGAAAGGATAGCACATCCTCTCACGCTCTTCTTTCGTGAAATTGATGGCCGGAATTCCGTAATGAAAACCACTCCATCCAATGAGTCGACCATCATCTTCAGCGAAAATGGCAACTGGGTCGGTCCAGTCGGCGGGCGGCTGCTCAGGCAACGCCGGAGACGGCGCAGATGGGGTAGCCATTTTCAAAGACCGGTAAAGAAACTTGAAATTATTTGAAATTCGTCCGAAATTGAGAGTTGAAAAAGAACAGAGAAACCCAGATGAGTGATGAGACGTGAGAGAGTGAAATAACTAAGCAGAGAAGTGAGTGAATAACAAAGTACAGAGAAACAGAAAGTCTCAATTTATGGTAAAAAGTGATACCGATCTACTTTCTCGGTGCGGGAGCCATTTAATGATACACAATTATCTTCCGAAGAAAAAGTAACACCATATTTCTTGGCTTCAATTTAGGAGACATCAAACAGGACGATAAGATTGGATTAAAAGTAAAACTTGTTTCTCAATATTTGGTCTTGGTGCTTACATTAGCATTTATGGAGAATTAAGAAAGCTCTGAAAAGACTATGAAGCCTAGAAGCACCACATAGCCTGTGATGACACTGAGCAAATGCGCATATCCGTGTACCGAAGTGGAACTGTGGAAATGAAATGAAAGTATCATTGGCGAGTTTTGCCCGGAGCACTTCAGATGAGCAATAGGAAGAATCGTTCAAATTAGAGTCCACTAATTCCAATGCCTTTCCTTGCGGGTTTAGCTTCCATACCTAAAAAATGTTGACATATTAATATAACACAGTTCCATTACTTTTGTATTGAAGACATTAAGAACAAAAATTGTAAAACTCACATGTCCCAATAGGTTGAGGGGGTAGCCTTCATGAGGAAACGTTGGTCGGTTCCTCTTGCCAGTGACAATCTCCAGCACCATAACTCCAAAGCTAAACACATCTGTCAAGTGTTCTTCTCATGCTTTCGATATTCGATTGTACTACTTACATATACAACTGAATCGTAACCAAGTCTTCCCCTCAAACTTAAAGGTCTTTCTTTAATTCATTGTCTCTTTAAGAAGAATCACTGATCCCAGTTGTTGCAAGAGTTGAAAATAGTGGCCATTCTCGATCAGAGAGTATTTCTCCCGAAGCTTATGGGACATGAACACTATGAAAAACAATTCGTTAAACTTTGAGATATATATATATATATATATATATCTTACTATATTAGAAACAAAACCACACTTAAAAAGAAAGCACCATGATTTGTCATGTGCCATTTTCACATTATATTCTTAAAATAAATTTTTATTTACATATGAGTTTCCTAGACTTAAAGTCAAATGCAATTCAAATCCACCTCCACCTTCTATTTTCGCCGAAACAAAAAAAAAAAAAAACCACTGCTTCATAAAAAACACAAATTCTCATCCCCATCTTCATGACAATCGACTCCCTAATCAATCCCTTCTCCACAATAAAAAAAAAAAAATTCTTCATCAATCATCAATTGAGAATATGTGGTGAAATATACTCCTTTCTTATTAGCATGTTCAATCTTTTCATTAGTAATGATCAACTAGATCCTAATCGGATAAAATTTCGACTTCAAAAAATATTCTCTTGCCTATCTATGTAAACACAAAGGAAAAAAAAATAATTTCTCATTGATCTTGCTTCGGCCATTGTGGTGGTGCCATTACAGATATTAAAATTTAAATAATTTTATATTCACAGATCATTATACGGCTTTTATTATTTTTTTATTTTTTCCGTTCAAGAATAGTGTTATTACTTTTATTTTTATGCGTCCACCCGTTACAGCTACCGTATCCGTTGCTAGGTAATATGATGTGATTTATTATATGGTTAGTTAGCCTGGAATTTTTGTATAATTTTAGTTCTGTTTGGATTGAATTGATCAATTGGGTTTTTGTTACAAAGTGTGGTTTTTTTTAATTTTTTTTTTATGTTTCATTCAATTAGAGTAGTTTTTTTTATTTAATTATGGAGTCTCAGTTTTTTTTCGTATATGGTCAGTTATGAACTGTGTTTTTCTTTGTTTAATTGCTTTTGATTTTGTTTCATACTCCCAGTTGACCAATTATTATTATTATTATTATTATTATTATTATTTTTTACAAATGAAGTGTTTTTTTTTTTTGTGTTCGGGCTTTCAAAAATATACTTTTTTGGATTTAGTTTTTGGACTTTTTTGAGTTCCTTATTATATAAATACTTCGGGTTGCTTCGTCTAACTAATTTATGGGGAAGCCTTTTATAAATTTGAGGTGGAGAGGGAAGGAATAGTGTTTCTACGTTTATTTGTGTTTTTATACATCATTTTTATTTACAGAAAAAAATAATTTTTCAATTTTTAATGGGCTCTTTTACTTACTTTTTTTTTTATTTGCCATGGTGAGGTGAGTTCTTTTTTGCTATAACTTGAAACCTATGCAAATTTACATTAATTTTCATTCTCATATTTGTGATAAACCAGTTTTAATAACTAACCAGTTTCAAAATCATATTTTTGATATTTTACTAACTATATACCTTTGAAAGAAACAGTTCCAATAATTAAACGTATACCATTCGGAAGAATCTTACTACAAAACTATTATAAATCTCCAAAACTAAGTATTGATTTAGCACGGCAAACTGAGAATATTAATAAATCATCTTATTAATATTTAAACTTATTAGGATTCTTTTATATTTTGTCTAACATTTACTTCAAGACATATACTTGATCAAGTTTATTTATATTTAATAAGTAACACTTAAAAAATATTTCTAAAATCTTCAAACATTTCTAAAACGTACCGGGCCAAATACAATTTTTTTTTTGCCAAATACAAACATTTCTATGATCACACTTATAAAACATTTCTAAATTCTTTAAAAATTTCTAAAATATATCGGTCCAAATACAAAATATTTTTTTTTTCAAATACAAACATTTCTAAGATCTACAGATATACTGTGTCAGGGTCGCGACATATATATATATATATGTATATATATAAAATCAAACTGTAAACCGGAAAAAAAAAATCAATCTACGTCATATAGGAGCAATAGTGATATCGATCTCACGAATATTTGACTGAAAAAAACAAAATGCATATGTAGATAAATCTAGGTACACAACTTTCCCCTATCAAAAAAAAAAAAGAAAAAAAAACAAAGGTACACAACTTTGGAAAGAGCTGATTTGCTCTGCATTTTTCAAACAAATTGATTCCATTCATCATCATCATTATAATCCTCTGAAACTATCAGAAATCAAAGAATCCATAGATTCTGTCGAAACACATTAGCAAGAATAGAAGCAAAGGTATCTGGAATCACTCACTACTTAGTAACATCAAGGCCCTTTTCCCCACATAGTTTTACAGTAGATTACATTGATGTTTGTCCTTAAATTTCATTCCATCATCTAGCTTCCAAAGCTGTAATGGTCAATTCAGTGGTGGTGGACATTTTTCTTTCCATGAAGAATCCAGGCAGCGTAGGCTCTGGGACCAGTTCTTGGGTTCCCAACATGTTGATTACCGAAGACATTTTAGGTCTATCATCCGGGCATTGCTGCACGCATAATAGCCCCACATGGATTGCTCGAAGCACTTCAGATTTACGGTATGAATTCCACATATTGGGATCAACCAATTCCAGTGCGATTCCCTGCTGGTGCAGCTTCCAAGCCTATAAGAAATGAATGCCAAATCATGTATATCAGGATAGAAACATGACTACTATTATGGGAGGGATTAGTATTAAGAAAGAAACCAGTATATCTCACATGTTCCAGAAGATTGAAAGAGTATCCTTCGTGAAGAAATGTTGATCGGTTTTTCCTACCACTAATAATCTCCAGCACCATAACTCCATAGCTGAACACATCTGATTTTATTGAATATATCCCCTCTCGTGCGTATTCTGGAGACATATAACCTCTGTTTGATAGTAATTATCATTTTACCAAAAAAAAAAAAAATGTTGTCAATAACATGCAATTAATGGGCACCGTGTTCTTAAACCAACTATTATCCTTGGATCGAATTCTTACGGTGTTCCCACTAATATCCTTGTGTTGTCACCCGTCTGATTCTCTCCAAAGCTTCTAGCTGTGCCAAAATCTGAGATTTTGGGGTTTAGATCGCCGTCGAGCAAGATATTGCCGACTTTTAGATCCCGATGAATGATCCTGAGTCGAGAATCTCGATGAAGATACAGAAGTCCCCTAGCAATGCCCTGGATAATGTGGAACCTCTTAGGCCAGTCAAGTGATTTGCTTCTGGTTTGGTCTGCCAAAAAGTTTTCCTGAAACTTCAGTTATTCTGCTCATGTTTGTTTGGTTCGCTGAGACGAGATATGCTTTCAGATCATTAACATACATATACTCCCTCTGTCCCAAAATTATTGTCCCAGTTTCGATTTTCACTTTTAGTCCACTTTGTACTAAACTGAAAACCCAAACTGGACAATAATTTTGGGACGGAGGGAGTATATAACTTTGAGAAACTAAGGAAACGGTTAATGTTTCATTCAGGAACATATATAACTTTAAAAAGGCCAAAATAGAACAGATTGCAGTTGGAGTGAGGAGTTGAGACTATCATACCAAATATGAAGTAATCCAAGCTTTTGTTTGGCATGTATTCATAGATCAGCATCCTTTCAGCCCCTTCAATGCAACACCCTAGGAGCTTCACTAGATTCCGATGCTGAAGTTTAGCAATGCAGATGGCTTCGGTCATGAATTGGTCTATCCCCCGCTCGTTATTTTCCAAGAGTCGCTTTACAGCAACTTCCTGTCCGTCTTCCAGCTTTCCCTAAAGCATTTCATATTATTTTTAAAATGGGGTTTATCTTCCTCATATTGGAGGGTTTCATAACCTGGATATAAAAGTGGGCTTACCCAATAAACAGGACCATAGCCACCCTGTCCAAGCAAATAGTCAGGAGAGAAGTTATCGGTGGCTTGGACTACTTTAGAAAACTCCAAAAGCGGTAGCTCTATCTCCCTCTTCTCATCATCAATCACTGCAAAGCTCGTCAGAAGTGACACAGGCTTAATATTGAAGTTGAGGATATTCACCAGCGGAATATGCACGTTTATTTACCTTGGATTGGCGTTGGGGGTCTGCTGTTCCTCTTCCAACTACACAACAAGAGAACGAGGCCCAACAGAACAAAGCTAATTGATAATGGCAAGATCACTACAAGTTTTTTTGTTTTCTTCCCTGAAGAGTAATCTACCAAAGAGAAAATTTTGGAGTTAAAAGAAAAAGAAAAAAAAGGAAAGAAAAAGTTAGTTTTACTTCTGCTAACTGCAAATTAATTGCAGCTGCAAACTAGTTTTTTGTTTTCTTCACTGAAGAGTCATTTTCTGCTATACATCATGAGGTTATAAGTTACTTTTCATACTCACGCGACCAGGAACCGTCAAACATCAAAGGAAAATGTCCTAGCAGATGATGTCAACTTTAAACGCTTTGAGCTAGAACTTGAACTGACAAAGAAAAGGTTCACAGTTCCACAAGAACAACTTGTACAGAGGCAGAGATATATTACCTAACTCTGAAGAAGCCAGCCGGATGTATATATCTTGACCAGCTCCAGGGATCACTTTCATGTCAATCAAATCCCCGAACCAAAGCAAGCAACCGCTTCCACCATTTGTAATGTCGAAGCTCGAATAAGCTGTGCAAGAGCAGTTCCTCAAGCACCACGTTCTGCATCCCTGCAGGGATAAATTTCGATCAAATGTGGAATTATGCGTATCTGGCAGCTTAAAGTTTGAATACTTTCGGAATCCATCTCCATTGCCACAATCCAGGGGTGTCTTCCTAATGCAGCCATCTGACCAATTTCGCTGATTCCAGTTTCCAGGATTTTTGGGCTCAAACTTTTCCAGACATCCACAAAGAGATGAATTTTGGACGTTACAACTTCCGTTTGGACCACATAATGCGTAACTGTCGCAATTGTCCTTGGGATTAGACAGATAAATCATCCAGCTCTTGCTTTTATTGTCCCATGTCCAACGCTGTCCAACACCATCTGATCTCAGGGTAAACCTGGAAAAAGTGGACCCTAAGAGCTTGAAACTGTAATATACCTCCACATCATTGAGCACAACTTCATAGGAGAATATTGGATTCGGCCTCAAGTCTGGAACCCCGCTAAGTCCTTGGCCATTCCATGGTCCAGATCGAAAAACCACAGTGCCGTTCCTTCTCTCCAGGTTTTGTGGATAGCCAGAGGGATCACAGTGTTTTGTGTATTCCCCTTGACCTGGATCCTCAGGACTCTTCCAGGATGAATAACTGACTTCTCGACCAGTAACAAAATTATGACCCAACTTCATTCCAGGCAGGAGTGTGTCAGTAGGATAATCAAAACTCTGCCAAACATAATTCTCTGGATTATCATCACCTGCATCTCTGACAACAAGGTTTCCACTGTCCAGCAGTTGCGCGACTGGATTTGCTACAGCGGTTGAATAATTAGAAGACCATATGACGCCATTGGTTCCATTGCGAATTACAAGAAGTCCTGGCTCGATGATCTCTAAGGAACCGCTGGTATTAGCAATAGGAACTTCTCTATTTGCAACCCACACCACAGTTTGAGGTTGAGTAGGTAAGGTAGTAGTATTATACCAGATCCCCATGTACCTGTTAGTCGACTTACTTAGGCTAAAAAAGCCAAGCACGAAGATTCCACCTGCTGAAATCATCGTGTCCCCATCTCTGATGATTTGAGCCGCTGCAATTGTATCAGTGGCACACACAATCTTCAAGTATAAAAGTGAAACTACAAAAACTAAAGGAAGAATATTAACTGTTCCTTTCATCTTCCGAGAATTTGTTGCTTACAACTTTTCCTGTATTGGTTGGCTCCCACTTAAGAATTACAAGCATCTCAGATGTCATAGAGTTGAGTTAAATATAAATACATAAGTCATTCTCAACCAAGTCCACACCTCAAACTTATTTGGCTCTTCAAGAATAAGTATATATAGTTGAAAATAGAGTTACAGAGACATTCGTCGAGGAAAGAGTAGACTCAGAAATCAGAATGAGTAGTATTTTAGTGTGTGTTATATACATGAATAAGTTACGGAGGATTGCTTTCATATGCCAAATAATCCAATCCACTTGTTCGAAGAAATGCTAAGCTAGGTATGTCATCCAACCTCTTGAATTATTCTACTATTTTGCTTCATACATGCGCGATATTCCCTGTCAACTGCGAATAATAAAATCATCTTCTTCATTTTTAATCTGTTTTTCAGACCGGTCAAGCCCTTACTAAGACTTGCATACCAAGAGTCCACAGGTAAAGTTCCTCAGGATTTGCACACCAACAAGCTAGCAGGTTGGTCTCCTCTAATTAGCGGTTTTAGAATTACAAATCTGACTTCGTTTAGAACTACGACTTCAAGTTTGTACTAATTCCGCGAAATTACTGTTAGAAGCTTACATCTGCTGTTTGTGTGTGTGGTTCGTGCTGGTTGAAAAACTCAAAGATTGACCAGAGATAGTTTGAGAATATAACAATCGCCATTCCTGACCTCATTCTTTCCACTTAACTTTTGTGCTTTAAAAAAAAAAATGGAGGAAGAAAAAATTAAAAAAAAAACTTTGTTTGATTACACCAGGCATGCTGCATGGAGTCATATTTTCTGGCAGGTAAGATTGTCTTTATCTAATAAACAAAGCAAAACTCAACAAATTATTGTAGTATTTAAAAGAACATACAAGCTTTGGAAGAAGACTTGACTTTGAGATGACCAATATCTTCAACTCTTCTGACAACTAGGATCTGTATTATTCTTGAAGAGCCAATTAGTACAAGTCCTTAAGTATGAGAGGAAGACTTGGCCGAGTTTGGAGTGTTTAACTTAACTCCGTGACAACTGATAAAGATACTTGCATTCTTGTCTTGAGGAGCCAATTGATACAGAGAAAGTACTAAACAAAAACCGAAGGCATGAAAGGAACAGTTTATGTTCTCCCTTTAGTTTGCGTTGTTCAGGAAAAATGTCATTTCATCTTAAAATTTCACCCGGTCAATTTTATCCTAAAGTATCTTAAAAGTGTGTTCAATGTCATCTCAAAGTTTAACACTAGGTCAATTTCATTCTACAGACATAAAGACATTTGACTTTAAAATAATATTTATGACAATTTTATATAATATTCTCCGCTGTTCCAAAACGATTATGCAGTTTAGATTTTCATTTCTAGTGCAATATATGTACTAATAGTAAAAATCTAACCTGAACATTTTTTTTTTTTTTTTTGGACCATGTAAAGAAAAGTTATGCTTTGAAGACATTAAACGTTGTATTGGCAGGTTGTCACAAGAACTACTAAAATCTGCAAGAATCCAAGTGTACTTCAAACACACAACACCAACATTTCACCATCCGGGTCCAAGAACTACATACTTGCATCTTGGGACTTTTAAGTTGTCTTTTTGCCATTCCACCACATCAACAGTAAAGAGCTGCTCACACCCGATCCTTCCAAGGTGGTAGACACTAAAGAGATCACCAGTTTCCGGAGCTGCGTGTGCAGCCGCACAATATAGCATAAGCACCTATTGAACCAGATCCAGTAGCAAGAATTGAATCTTCAAGCACTTGTCCTTTACCATCTGACGCGATACCGGCCAGGTTTGTTTTCGTCCCA